ACCCCACCACCACCCAGCACACCACAGGAAAGAGAAAGAGAGGCGCCCCGGTGGTGTTAGGCAGCCTTTCTGCAGCAGGATCAAGAAGCCAGTTGGGGTAAAATGAAACCAAGAACCCGAGATGGAGACAGAGACAGGAGACAAGGGCTCCCAGGACTGGTCTGCGAAAGACACCGGAGGAGGTATCTATCGGGGAGTGAAGGGTCCCCCAAAGGGAGCACAGACTCTTGGAAGCGTGAAGGGACGTGTGAAGGGATAGAAAAAATAAGGCATGTTTCCTGTTCAGAAAGGAGACCCTGTTTCTCCCCTCTCTCCACAGGGAGCACCGGCCCCCACCCCGTCCTGTCTCAACCCACAGAAGACTATCAAGTTGGAGAAGCTTCCAAGGCCCCCACCCCCTTTACCTAGCTCCACGACAACTCGCTGCCACTCACCATCCGCTGATTAGGGTTAATGCATTGCGTCCTGATATGGCAGATTAAAACGGGAATCAATAAATGCCTAAAACAAATGGGCTTTTGAGATGTCCCATTCAATCTCCAGCAGCCACGGATTTCACACCCCCAACACGGGGGGCGGAAGAGATGGATGGCAAGGTAGATGTCCTGATTCCCTCCCTCACAGCCCTCCCGTGGCTGGGCTCCTCTGGATATGTGTGTGTGTGTGTGTGTGTGTGGGGGGGGTGTTGTTTCCCATTCATCTGCTACGTCCAAAGAGTGCAGGGCAGCCAGAGTCTCCACCATGAGGTATTTCGAAGTTCAAAGCTGTGAACTTGTCTCTCTGAAGGATGTTTGAATAAAGTAAGTCAGGAGCCCGCTTCCTCTCTCCATATTCTCTCAAATCCTGGTTCCGCGTGGCCAGTGCTCTCAAAGTATTCTCACCACCCTCTGCTCCTCCAGCTGCCTGTCCCTCCTCTGCCCTTCTAGTGCCTTCTACTGCCAAGTCCTCACCCTTTCCTGGGAGTTGCCGCTGCCCTGAGGTGGGAACAGAGCTGACTCAGGTCACCTCTCTACTCCTTGGCAGCCTGCAGAGTTGTCCCAGCTGAGGATGGTTCCCATGTAAATAACCTGTGCCATTAAGGTGCAAATTGCAACTTTTAAGTAATGGTTGCTAATCGTCTCATGTTTACTGCCACACAGGACAGTCATAAAAACAAAACCTGCATTATTCATTCTCATGTTAAATAAACAAAATGAACAGAGGGAGCTGTCGCTTTCCTGCAAGGCTCCTCCTCAGATCTGGGTGATCGGCGGTCTCCCGAGAGTCTCCAGGAAGAGGGAAGATGCTCATCACTTGAGGGTAGGCGGGTGGGGGGTGGCGGGGGTGAGTCAGAACACTTCCATCTATCTGGGTGTTAGGTGGCCGCCTAGGAATGCCCACAAGATCACATCTGCGCCCTGGCTCTTGGCTGGCATTCCTGTAAAAATGATCATCGTTCCGAATGGCAACATGAAACCTGCCTCGCCTGTGTGTGCCCACAGAGGCTGGAGGAGATGGCAGAAACAGCAGAGCGGGCGCAGAGGGTCACAGTCGCAGGTTGTGAAGGGCTCGGCCACTGACCAAAGACTCAACCATCATCCCCCTCCCCCCACTCTGTTTGATTGCACCTTCCTGCCATGTTCTCAACTGGGCACAAAACGGATGAGACCAGTAGCCTGGAATCCCGGAAGAATTCCAGGTAACAATGGATATATTTTTCGTGAAGAATGAAATATACATGCACGGAAGTGTACACGCTATCTCCCGAGTGTGCGCACACACACACACACACACACACACACACTTCCATGTGCACAGATGCCTTGGTTCCTACAAGGCAGCTTTCTAGCCACCACCCCAACCCCACCACCCCACGAAGTCATCACATAAGGTGGTGGGGACAGCATAGCTTTAGAAAGCTAGGAGGCATGGCACTTCTCAGCAACTCCTTCTGCCGGGGCTTGTCTTTGAAGCAGAAGTGCCTACCTCCCATGCCCTCCCTCTCAGAGGTGAAGTAAAGAAAACAACGCAGAGAGGCATTCACCAGCCTTTCTAAGATCACTGCTTCTCCTCTTTGGATACCTGCGTTATTAGAAAGTCCGAGAACTGTTTTCCTTGAAACATGGCCCTTAAAAGCGATCCGATTGCCCAAGGGCCGCCGTTCTTGGGAAAGAGCGTCCTGCAGGAAAAAGCGTGGGTTCTGATTCATCCGCAGGCTGGTGGTAGCTTACATTTTTCATTAATCAATCCCGAACTCAAGCTTTCAACAGCAGCGCAGGGGAGTAATTACTTACAGTTGTGCATTGTGTTTAATTGTAAGCAGTGATAAAAGTTAGTGTGCCCACAAGCTTAGGACAAACCCCCCCACATCTTCCCCCACCCTTCCCTCTTTCCCTGGATCTTCACGGGCTAGAGAAAGAATTTCAAAGTGGCAAACTTGACTGTGAATAATCAGCTCAGGGAAAGCAGAGCACTGATGACCTCAGAAGAGGGGAAGAAACACAGCATGACAAACGTTTTTGTTTTATTAATATGCGAGCAAAGAGGTAGCTTAAGAGGGGCCTTGCTGGGTATGAAATGAATTATTCCCTTTCTGTCCGATGGGCCTTCCACTTCTTCCAGGGGGAGAAGGTGGGCAGTGCCGGGCACACACGAATTTCAAAAATGACCGGGCATACAATAGTCCAGAAGAGAGAAACTACACGGAGAAGTTTCTAGGGCGCTCAGACCAGCTGGTCCGTCAGCAGACCGCTCGGCCAGCACCGGTAGACGGCAGCGTGGGGAAAAGGGTCTCCTGGCACAGACGTGCCATGGCACTCTGTTCCCTGCACCTGGATCCTCATTGATCAGAGGGTAATTAGAATCCAGGTCGTGCAATTCTGGGCAATGCACTTTTTGTAATGAGCTTCCTAAAAGGAGACAGGTCCAGTCATTCTGGTAATTTAAATTACTTCTAGTTGTTGATGGCCTTTACCGGAAAACAAGAAAGAAAAAAAAAATGACGGAGTACTTTTCAGGGCTGTATCACTTCTGGCTGGACCGCAGCCCAGGGCTCTCTTTTGGGACAATAATAAGGACGTTGTTATCTGTAATCATCTAAGGACACTTAAACTTACTGTTGCTAGAACCAGCCAGGGCAAGCTTCCTCTTTCTGAGCCTGGAGGGCCGCTCCCGCCCCAGAGCCTGTCAGACCACCACAGCAAGGCGATCTTAAGTTTTCAAAATTAAGTGAACCCCCTCCAGAAAGGGACAGGGGTCCGGGGGAGCCATTGTGGACGAGGGGGACAGCCAGAGTAGCTGGAAGCTAACCCTTGGTGACTAGGCACATTCTGAACATCTAGGACACACAGAAGATTTGATTCGTATGCTCTTCGCAAAACACTTGGAATATACCAGAATCACAACTTTCGAGACGTTACGTCCGCAGGGAACGAGAAGTCACCCACACACGGTTATGACAGCAATTTAGTGCGCAGAAGGGAAGATAATTTCAAAGCACATGTACTTTTATCCTGCGCTGGGAGCAGGCAGAGATGGCCCGTTGGCTTGGTGGTCCAGTATGCTGAGACCCCAATACCCAGGATTGGCAGCGAACTTTGAGCTTGTTCTAAGGGTGACTTTGCAAAGTTTATTCAAGTGTTGCACTGCGCTTTCCTGTGTGTTTGGCTCAAGTTGGAGCAGAATGAGATATTGCAGTGGGGTGGCCAGCTGAGCTGATGCTGCCCAAAGCCACAGGGTAAAGAAAGAGCAAGGGATTGGGGGGGGGGGGGCTAGAAACAACAACAACAACATTAAACAAACCCACAAAACCAAAAGTTAAGCTTTTCGATAAATCCCTGATTCAACTAAAGGACACGAAGAAACACAAACGCCCACATTAAAAGCCAAACAAGATAATAATTGTGCATGCCTGGCTCTGAATGTAAAGGGCAAGGCTTGCGTCACTGGCACTCTGAGTTTCCATGGTGAGTGATTTATTGATATATATCAAGAATGAATAGATCAAAGGCAGCGAGATGACAGGTGATCAATCAAATGTCAAATCAAAACTAGCAATCAAGTGGAAAGCTGATTTTTCCGTGGGTGGGTCTGGCAGGGAAAAATGAACTTTCATATTATACTTCCGAGAAACAAAACCCCAGCATACTATTAAAAAAGCAATTAAGCAACCCAAAACACACACACACACACACACACACACACAATAATCCCTCGACCTATTTTACCGATCTGTTAACCTGTTCCTCTCTGAGTGGGTAGTTGGGGGAATGAGAATCCGATCCGGATACTGTTAACCACACACGCCAGATTCTCAAAGTTTGTAACTCTCTCTGTGCAAAGGAAAGCCAGAGCGGTTTAAATGTTCCGTTGGGGGTATCTTTCTTTCTTTCTTTCTTTTTTTTAATGGACAGGAGAGTGTTGATTAGATTTCCAAATGTGATCCTTTTAGAACATATATTCAAAGGTTCATCCATCTCCAGAGCTGGTTTTTCCACCTTGGGGATCAAAGTTTAACTCCTAATGCTTGTCCCAAAGCCAGCCTCCAGCCTTCAGCCTGGGCAAAATGTTCACCGAGTGTCCCAAAGCCAGGGAAGCAGACTCTGACCCCGGAAGGAGGCCGTAAGTCACAGGCACTGACCACAACGCAAGGATGCTGGGGTTCAGGGGCTGTCTCCCCACACCGCACCCCAAATTCTCAACCCAGCTTTAGCCCTTGAGGCAAGAAACCGCCTAGGAGAAAGTTAGGGGTGGGGAGAGGGTGGGGGAAGAAAGTTGAAGGAGGGAAGGCTTGGTGGGATAGCCCCCCCATTCCCACCCAACAGAGCCTGCATAGGGGAGATCAGAGAAGGTAGGGGGAAATGGGGTTAGTAGGGTGACAGAGAGGCAGGCTGGGGCCAAGTGCCCCCCAAAAGCTTAGGGAGTGGCGTCCTGGCGGACCCTGGGGCCAGGAGGGCGGGAGCGGCGCGCGGCGCGCAGGGCAGCCCAGGCTGGGCAGCCTGGAGCGGAGCCTTTTCTCTTACCTGCCGCCCGCTTGGGTGCCTGCTGCTTCCTCCTGGGCATCGCTCTACTCCGCTCCAGTCCCACGTCTGGCGCCCCGGCCCCAAGCCGCGCGCGGGGGCCGAGGTCTCTCCTGGCTCTCAGGGACTCCTCCGCCTCTTGCCCGGTGGCTCCTAAGGCGTCACTCGGCCTCTGTCCCCCCGACGAAGATCCCCCTGCAACTCCTCCACCACAGGCCAGAGACCCCCCTCTCTGGGTGGCAGGTACGGGTGCCTGGTGCCAGCTGGTTGGAAGTAGAGGTTGGTTCTGCCCTTGTTTGTTTGTTTGTTTTGTTTGTTTTGGATTTTTTGGTTGTTTTTTTCCCCTCTCTCTCTCTCTTTTGTTTTTGCTTTTTGGAATTTTTGGTTTGGTTTTTTTTTTTTTTGGTGACTGTGGAGACACTTGATTTCTTTATTAAACATCCAAGATCGGGTTCAGACGGAAGGGATGAGGGGCGCACACGCGCCGCACGCACACTTAAGGAAAAAAGGCAATCCTGCGAAGGTACTGGGTTTCTTCTTTTTCTTCTTCTTCTTTCTCCTTTTCCCCTCCTCCTCTTCTTCCTCCTCCTCCTCCTCTTTCTCCTCCTCCTCTTCCTCCTCCTCCTCCTCCTCCTCCACCACCACAACTACCACCTCCTCCTCCTGTTCCTCCTCCTCCTTGCTGGTCTCTATGGCGGATTCTCGCAGGGGGGAGAGAGAGATCACCGTAGGTCGGTGGCTGCTGTCAGATCCCCGGCTGTGAGTGAAATGCTAGAGGACAGGAGCGGGTTTGGGAAAGACAGAAAATCTGGAATTCACACACACACACACACACACACACACGCACGCACGCACACACACGCGCGCGCGCACTCACACACTCGCTTACACACGCGCGCGCACGCACACACACACACCACACACTTACAACACACACACCACACACTCACAACACACACACACACACACACACACTGGCGCGCGCTGGCGTGCGCGCGCGCGCACGCACACACACACACACACAAGACAGGGCGAGGCGATGCCAGCAAACATCGATGCCGCTGAACAAACTGAACATTAACAAACTCCTCCTCCTCCTCCTCCTCTCCCCGCGACCTGGTGACAGGGAGAAATTTACTCCCCAGCCGCAGAGCGCGCGGCGGCGGGAGTCTATTAAAGGGACAGCGTCCCGCCAGGGACGGGGGCTGGGGGCGCGGGGAACCAGACGCGCCCGGGCCCGGGGAGCGCCTACCAGGGCAGGGAGGCACCTTGGGGGAGGAGGGCTGGGCGGTGGGCACCGGGAGAGAAGCCCAAGGGACAGGGTGGTGGCCGAACTGGGACGCCAGGACGGGTGAGACTCAGGCGGCTGGCTCAACAGACCGGGAATCCTACAAGGGGAGAGAACTTGGGTGTACTTGAGACAGGGACTTCATCCAGCCAAGACCTGCATCCTCTAAGTCTCTTAACCCGGGCTCACCTGATCACAAAGAATGCCCCCTCCTTCCCTGATGCAACTTGAAGGAGCTCTGGGGGCGCGGCGGCGCAGTAGTTAAGGGCTGGGCTGCTAACCGAAAGGAGAGCTGTTTAAACCCAGCAGCCACTGGAGAAAGGTGTGGTTGTCTGCTCCCTAAAGATTTCAGCTCTGGGAACCCAGAGCGGTGGTTCTGCTTGCTGACTCACCAGACACCCTTTGAAAGCCTCACCTTCTCAGTAACCAGGGACTGCTCTGGGGAATCTGAACTCTCCCATCCTGCTCCATGGTACTCTAAAGCAAGCTCTTCGCCTTTTGTTTAAGTATGATTTGTTAAGCATCGAACTCTGTGCTTGTTCTGGAGAAAGGACACACAGAGAAAGGCCAGATCTGGGCAGGTGTATTTGAATGAGGGAAGTGACAAGGCCCCCAGATACCCCAGATCTGCTTGTGTTTTCTTCTCCCAGAGGTCTACTTAATCCCCTCCCCCTTCCAGTCCTCTGCTTTAGCTTTCTTCAGTGCACTTATCAGTCCCATGAAGGTTTCCAACCTGCGAGACCTGAAAGGGTTGGTAGGAATTAGAATCAACCCCATAGCTGTGAGTCTGGTTTCAGCATTACGCCTATTTCTTTAAATCATCATTTTAAACGGCTGTATGGTATTCCATGGTCTGTCTGAACCACAGCTTTATCCATTCATCTGCTCATGGACAGTGTTTCCAGGTTCCGGCGAGGGTGCCTCTGTCTCCCATCAACATAGGTGTGTATTTCTCTATTCTAGTCAAGAGTCTTAATTTTCCTGATCTTATGGTATTCTTATTTCTAACTTTTGTTGCTGTGAAAACCTCAGTTCTGCTTCTTGCTAGGTCTCACGCCACGTCTATGATATACCGTTTGTTGGCACAGTGGTTATGTTTTGGGCTACGAACTGCAAGGTCAGCAGTTCAAAATCACCATCCACTTTGTGGGAGAAAGTCAAGGCTTTCTATTCTGGTAAAAAGTTAGTCTCAAAACCCACAGGGGCAGTTCTATCCTTTCCTGTAGGGACACTACGAGTTAGAATTGACTTGATGGCAGGGAATGTGTTTTCGTTGTTATTGCCAGAATTCCTCTTCTATAATGTATGCTTCACTGGGGCGGAGGGAGTTTCTCTCCTTGGTTCATTGCTAGAGCTCCAAGGATGTGAAAAGGCAAGGCAGATAGTAAGTGGTCAGTAAACGATTATTGAATAAATGAAGAGTGAGTAAACAAGATAACTTCAGAATAAGAAGGTCCGTGAGATGAGGCCATAGTCAGAAGAGAGGCAGCACTGGGGTCCTGCCTGCAGGAGCTACCATCTGAACTGAGAGAGGTGCAAGCCAACCCGTGGACCTTGAGCCCCCGCTGGTGGCTGGGCCCACTCTGAGATGCTTAGACCACTCCATCTGCAGATGGGATGAATCTGCCCTACAATGAGGAGGACAAGCAACTCAAGAGCAAAGTGATGCATGCTGGGACAGGAGCTGCTCTAGTTGGGGCCATTACCTGGGAGGAAGGGTGGGCGCTGACCAGGCCAAGCTTTGTGGGTAGAGTCAAGCCAAAGCCAAGTCCTGGAAATGGAGAAAGGCATCCTGGTGGCACAATGGTTGACTGTTTGTCGAAAGGTTGACTGTTTGAACCCCCCTACCGGCTCTGTGGGAATGAGTTTACAAAGCCCACCACCACTGAGTCCATTCCTACTTGTAGTTAACCTAGACAACGGTGACGAACTGCTCCACTGGGCTTCCAACACGGTCTCGTTCAACAGAAGCAGCCTGCCTGGTCTTTCTCTCCAGGAGTCTCTGATGCGTTTGAACCGCTGACCTTCCGGTTCACAGCCGAGGTGCTTAATCTATTGCTCCGACAGAGCATCTTCCCTTCAAGATGACAGCCTAGAACACCCTCTGGGACAAGTCTGCTTGTTCACATGGGGGCTGAGCGTCGAAATGGACTATTCTGCAGCTGGAAACAACACACGTGGTGGAGTTATAACACACCGGGAGCTCTGACTTTGATGGTTCCCCTCCAGGAAGAACGCCTTAATCAATTACCCAACCGGTAAGGTAAGCAGGGCTGCCTTGTGCTTACTTCCTAATCTGCCGTCAGCAATGTTTTGCACCACAGCAAAGACTGATTCTGCTTCTAGGTCTGGCCTGCATCTGCCTCGCTCCTAAGCTCCCAGCACCTTCCTCCAGAATCAAAGCCTCTTTTCCCATGTATAACCTGAAAAGGTTGGTGGAATCACTCAGCAAGGAAGCATGGGCTTGCTTGTGCTTACTTACTAGCCTGTCGTGACCAGTTGCACATATTTTTCACCACTTCCTGGGTGAAACCCCTGTGGAATTGAAGTGGTAAAAAACCCCTAAACATGGTCATGATAGACGAGTAAGCGAGAACAAACCAACCCATGTTTCCCTTGCTTATTGGGTAATCTGTCCCCCTGGAGGCCCTGGTGAAGATGAGCATTTCTGGGGTTTATCTAGAACCAAGTCCCCTAATCTTGGCTCCCTTAATATTTGAGGTCAAGATAGCCCTGCTAGGAGGACTGCTCTGTGCACTGTAAGATGTTAAACAATATCTCTGAGCTCTACCCACTAGATGCCAGTAGCATGACCCTGACCCAATGGTGACAACTGAAAATGTCCCGACACAGATGAGTGTCCCTTGGGGTATAAAGGTCACCTGTGGTTGAAAACCACTGCTCTAAGTCTTCCAAATCAGAGAGTTCAGGGTGAGACTTCAGTGCTCTGCATTTTGAATGAGCAACCCCCAACTCAAAAGCCCCTGCCTCACTGACCCCATTCAAAAATTTTTGCTTAAAAAAAAAATGATGACCTTTTCCTAGAATCTGATATGGTTAATGTAGCTAATTGTACAGCCAACTCAGGCTTAGATCAGGTTGGTGTAGGGGCGGGAGGGGTCAGATGATCATTGTGAGCATGCTGGGGGTCACCAGGGCTCACTGCTCATTCCCCCATGGCCCATGCACTTCACCTTCAGTGAAGCCCATCCCTGAAGATCTAGGACCACCCTGCCACCCTGCACCCATCTACCTGACACCTTTGCCCTCCTTCCTGAGAATTGCTAGGTATCACGAGTTCCTCAACTATTTTTCATAACTGTTCTTCTGGGCTATAGAGAATTGATCTTCTGCCATCCTCCTCATCGACCACAGCACATTATTGTCACCATGAGCAACATGCTGTTGAGTCAGTTTCCATACCTCCACCGGGGAGATGCAATGCTCATTTCTCCGTCTCACCTGCGTGGTACAAGTCCTTCACTCACCTGCCCTAAGTCCCCCAAGCAGTCTCCCTCCACCACCAACCCCACCCAACCCCAGCCTAGTCCTTAGGCCACCGAGGCAGGGAAAACGCAGCTCCATAATTGGTAGTGGCAGAAAGAAAAGGTTTTCATTCTAATGACCCAGCATGCCTTTATGGATCACTGTGTAAAGGACCACCCCTCCGTCGCAGGACCAGGAGGTGCCGTGTGCGCAGGAAGAAGGCTGAGATTACTGTTCATTCGCCACTGCACCTGCCCTGTTCTATAGAAGCTCCAGGCCCATCTGAGATGTGTACGTTGCATCCAGCCATTCAATGACTGAACCCCTGCTCTGTTCATTCCTGATGTGTCCAAGGCATGATCCTAGTACAGGGGAGGCTGGGATACGCAAAGCAGGGTTCGGGCCTCCAGAACCCTTCTGTGATGATGACATTCAAAAGACCGGGGAGTAAGAAGGGAGGGCATTGGGAACTGGATTTGCCTTGAAGGGACCTGGGCGGGGCTGGGGGTGGTGGGGAGGAGAACAGGCAGGTATTATTAGTGTTGGCCTCTAGGATTTCCTCAGCTCTCCCAAGGACTCTTCTCTCCACTTTACCTCTTCCTCCACAGCTGCTTAGATACTTCGGTGGATGTATAAGATATGTTTAATACCACCTTTCAGCTGGCTACCAACACATTCTAGAATGCACATTTCTAGGCCCTGTGCTTTCACTGCTCAGCGCCTGTTCCTCTTGCTCCTCATGCCGATTATTGGGCCCGGTTATCAACCAA